TGATTCTTCAAATGATTACAACATTTTTGTTTGCAGGCAGTCAACCCAAATCGGTCAGAACACAGACACAGAATGTGCAGTGGATGTTTGGACACCTTATCCAGTACTTCATATGCCTCATATCAGATGGCTCTTTAATTGGGCAGGGAGGCAGCTTGAACAGAGCTATTTTGTCAGGCGTCACCTTTAGTTGCCATTATACTAAAATGTTCTTGGCTGAACCACATGCAGCCACATTGAGAAAACCTCCAGTTGAGGGGGGGGGGGACAAAGAAAGTTTTATTTTAAGTATTATAAATAAACCTACAACAATGCAACCTTGCATTAAGAAAAAGTTATTTAGAGCAAATACTTAATGTGCAAATTAATTTACAGGCCGCTGCATCAGATATGAAGCTGAACGGCTCAACAGAGCAGCAACTGAATTGAAACTCTTAGGCCTCTTAAAAGGAAAGGACAGCCAGTCACACATGTAACATCAAACACAAACACACACATAAAACCAGATGAAAAGTGTCATGGGGCCCTTAAATTCAGCTTCAGTATTTCATAGGACAAGGGTTCCCTTCGACAAACACTTCTGAGGTGTTGTTGCTCTCTGAGGAACTGGGAGGGCAGTATATTACAGTGCCTGACTCAGATAAACTCCTCCGGTATGTTTACTAATTTCAGTCTGTCTCTATGTCATTTACAATTCAGGGAATGTTTGGGGCCCTTTGGTAAACTATACTGGGCTGAAAAAAAGAAGGCCTCTACGCCCTGGGTTCATGTGGTCAAATGGGGAAACAAGCAGAAAAGTAAAGCCCTTTGACTTTTATGGACTGACGCCAATTCTTTGACTTCCAAGGGCATAAATCACAATTGTAGATGGAAGAGTTCCAGCATTACATAATACAGAAACAGAGAGGTTCACAGAGGCAGAAGAAATCCATGTAGCAAAAGGAACAGGACTTCACAGAGTAGATCATTCTTCTGTAACCCCGTCTCCTTACGGACTAGGAGTAGGAGACGGGGAAAAAACATTCTTTTTTTGATGCATAGTTTGGAATTGAAAGGTCAGGATTGTGACAGCAGAGAGAGCAGGGTTCACATCCTGCATCCCACGTGTTGTTAGGTTTAAGCTACTAAAGCACTTGGTTTTTTTAGGGAAAGTTGGTGGTTTTGATTAAGTTTTGAAAATGTCAAGGCATCCTGTCTGTTCTTCAAGTCGCAAAACCTTAAAGTTGCCTAAACAGAACCAGAGAAATGTTAATAAAAACTTTAGTTGCCAGTAGCCGATTGTGCAGGAAAAAAAAATTCATTCACTTTTTTTCTGTTCAGACTAGGGGTGGGCGTCAGTCCAACAACCAGCAATTGCTGAGATATATATATATATATATATATATATATATATATGTGTGCGATGCCATCCAGCAATGCAATGCTTAAATTTTTAGGAGGAGAGGTTGTGAAGATGGTCATTTACAGAACAAGAGATAATCAAGATCTGAAACCATTTTCACCATTGCATGGAAATGTAATTCATGGGAGATGTGAAACTAGTGAGTTTTGGAAAGACTGACAATAATCAAGTTAGATCATACACTACTGGATGATGTTTACAATGCTCAAATACACAAACTCATCAGAAAGTAATTGAGAACTTGCAGACTATTCTTCATAATGACCCTAATCATCTTTTCACCTCCTCCTAAGACTGCAGAATTGATGATCTTATTAAGCCTTTGATCATCTGCCTTCTGTACACTGCCAACACAGTACACAGGCACAACTCTGCAATAAAACTGTCCAGCTACACATGGTAAAGCTCTTCATTCCCCTCAGAAGAAAAGAAGACTGGACTGGCCTTTCCCCTAAATAATGTCAGTGTTCTCTCTCTCTCACTCCCAGCTTGTTGTCCAAGTTTCAGGTGTTTGTATTAATCACTTCATTCAGTCCTGACCAGGTTCATAATTGTAGTTTTAAATCCTAAACAAGTTTTAAGTTTACCATTAGTGAGCTGCGAACCACACAGTCATCAATCCCACTCCTGTATTCCTCATCACATCATTCTGTGATTTGTTCAGACAGAGGAGAGTGTGAAGTCTGTGGTAGGCCTATATAAGGTAAATACTGAGAGGTACAATTACTCTTGTTTAGTACAAGTACTCCCTAAGGCAATCTACGTTGGATGTAAGTCATGCTGTTTTAATTCCCCGTAATAAACATAATCACATGATGACATAGACCAGAATCTCAGCTTGGGGAGCGAATTAACACACCCTCAAAATCTTGTTTTTGCTGACCTCCAGCAGTTCAACTTCTCACACTGATGCAGCAATATACAAGTGTACTCCAGAACCACACTGCTGGGTGTGGTCACAGGTACAACAGAGTTCACCTCTGACCACACCCAACTACATCCATCAGTGTGGCAGACTGTGGTCAGACAGCACATTTTTCCTCTGCAATAATTATGATGCATCACATTATCAGAGCTGATAGTGACGTATTGACATGCAGGCCAGATACCAGGTACTCTTGACCCTTCCTATGTCCCGCCCCCTTTTCGGTCCGTGTCCAATAACAGTTGAGAAAGCTTTGTAGCCGGTGGAACCTCGTTCAACTTCCTCCTTTCCTGTACCTAGATATGCTATGTGTTGGGTAACTGCAAATTTCCCCTTGAGGGACAATAAAGATTAAACTGAACTTGAACTGAACTAGTTGGCTAGCGTTTTGCTAACATTAGCTAGCTGAACAACCGACTGCATCACTATGAATGCTTTTCAGTAGGGACTGTGTGCGGCATTATCCCTTTATTTAAAATGTGTTGGCCAGGGTGCCCCAGTGGCTCACCTTGCTACAGTGGCCCAGGTTTGATTGCAGCCTAGGGCTTTTGCTGCATGTTATCCCCTCTCTTTTTCTGTCTCTCTTCAGCTATATCCAATAAACGGAAAAAAGTCCCCCCAAAAAAACCTAAAATATGTTGGCCACCTTTGAGTGCGGCTGTTCAGAACAACTGTTCCCAAAACCCAACCCTGACTGGGCCCTTAGGTAAACTGCCCTGTTAGTCATCTTAGCCATTAAGTGATAAGAAAGAGAACGTACAATAAAAGTCCACCCAAGAAAATGACAGCTTTGTTGTTTGTTGGAATGCCAGAAACACAACTTTAAGCTTAACTGACAAGGACCTCTAGTAGATGTGTGATAATGACTCTTGATTGTGAGCAACAAGGGCAGATGTAGTGTGATTTTGATATACAGACACAAAACCTCATGGGAGGAGGTTGGGGTGGATGCTTAAACCAAGCTTTAACCATTAGTGGTGGTCATCTGTAACAATTTTTGAAGGCCGATGACAAATGACGTCATTTGGTTTGGAGGTCCCCAGCATAACAATCCATTGGAATTGGAAGAAAATATATTGCCGGAAAAACTATACTGAGATGAATTCCATCTGAGAGTGTTTCCCCCAGTGGTGTAAGACACAACAAACATCATCCTGAAACATCCTGACAGTTGGAGATGGGCTGCGTGCTGCATGACAAGTAAGACACAGCTGTTTCAGCTGGCTGTAGTTTACAGTGCTGTTTCATTCTTACCACTCCCTATCCATCTTAACTGGTCAAGTTACCATTGGAAGTATCAAAAGTCTGCAAGCATTATTTCGTTATCTTCATCTTTATCAATCCTGCATTTTCACATCCTAGTTTGAGTGCTTTAGATATTGCATTAAGCTTATCACAGAGCTTAAAAGAATGCAAAGAAATGAACAATTTTGAGTTTCACAATCCCCTAACATCCTAAACAGGACAACAGAAAATGGAAGAAAGATGAATACATGCAGTGTAGAAGTGTAGAAAACAAACATCCTTGTTCTGCCTCAGCCTAAACCCTCACCCTCCATTAGCATACTACTCTGTATAGAGGTTATACATCTTTATAGGGTATAAAGAAAGCTATTTGAATTGTTATATCTTTGATTAGATGCGATGAGAGAGGGGCAACCAGACTGGTTGATCAATTTCACAAGTGGACATTCCTGGTAGATTACTCTTTTGTGTGAATTGGTTAACTACCACAGTCGAGGCAGATAAAAAATCACCATGATAATTTTGTAAAATTGTATTTTATCATAAAACATTGTGCAGTGTTTTGGGTCCTGATGGACCTTCAAACTAATGGATCTGTTACTCAAAGTGGACTTCCTGGATCATATTAAATGGTCACACCAGTACCTGTAGCAATACACCCCCATCAATTCAGATCCTTGCAGTTAAATGCAGTACTTTTTTGAAAGCATAATGACGTGAGGTGGGTCTTGGGCGCACAGACTGTGTGGGTGTTTCCATGTCTCTCTCAGCCAATCATATCACTAGTCTAGTCACTCTAAAACAGCTGTGACAGTCACAGTGTTGCATGACACTGATGTTGATGAAATCAGACTGGCAGCAGATTAATGCCTAAAACATGCATGGTGATATATCTATTCTCAATGCAACATCTAAGACAAATTGTCCACCAACTCAATTTTAACTGCCTGATTTGACTGAACCTCCCACCTGTGCACCTTGCACTTGGCACCAAAATGCCACAAAGACAAGCAAATTGAATTGTTGTGCTTCCACAAAAAAAGGTTGATTTCTCATACTCACAATCATTGTAACTCAACATTCTGAATTAATCATATACTCTTTCCTGTAATTTGATATTGTACATACTACATGCCACTCATACATTTATATGCAACTCACCAAGAAGCAACTGAGATATGCCCAACTTATGATCCTGACTGTTAACCTTTTTGATATTTTTGGCATTGTGTATATTTTGGAGGATTTTTGGGGCTCTCTACCATGCACCACGTTTGAAATTTTTTATACTTGCACTCTATATGTTTGCCCTCTTTCCTACTTTGTACTGAAATTGCTGCACACAATCTCCATCTAATCTTAACTTATAACACACACACACACACACACACACACACACGAAACGAACGAAGGTACAGTGGTACTCACCCACGGTATCACAGGGTTCGTCTTTGTGAACGCAGAAATCTGTCCTAAAAGAGAAATAAGAACAAGTTAACTCAGTCCATCTTTCATTTCAGTATTTTACTTTAACTGCACCGATCCCCAGTTTACGGCACAGAGTTTTACTGAAATTGGGCAATCATTCACGTAGAATCCACCCATACTAGACACATATCTGCTTAAGGGTTACGCTAGACAAGAACACGGAAAGCAACCACATTTGATGGCAAAAGTGAATGAAGGCAGAAAAGCCAGCTGTCATCAGAGAGGGTAGTGATGCTTTTAGGGGCCAATAGATTTAATGATAGCCCGTTTCAATAAGTATAAAAAGAGTAAATGGTTTTGCCAGTTGCTATGGAACTAAATTCAGGGTTAAAAATAATACAAATATTTCTCAACTCATTATTTGCCAAGCTTTCAAATAACACTTTACTGTGGAGTCCTAAATGGAGAATACTAGTCCACATTACTACAGATATACTTGAAAATGCATCTCTTCACCTCTGTTTTACCCCCATTTTGGAGTTTGAAGGCAGGGAAAACAGCATAAAAAACATTATAGCCTGAAATTTGATGACTTTTACTCAAAGACCAACATAACCAGAAGAAGAAAAAAAGAAAGGCTCTTCACTCATCTTAATGAAAAAGAATGTAGGGTGTCTTAAATTAGGGGCAAAAAATGTATAAGGCATTCTTTTCATATACACACATAGACAAACTTAAACAAAATGAAAAAGGACCAGGTTGTGTTGGAGAAGCTAACCCAAAAAAGCGAAAGGCCCTATCTGGAACCAGTGTTTGGTTTGTCAGTTCTGGGCTACTGTAAACCACGGGGGTTCAACTCCGTGGAAGAGGACCAACTTCCTCTGTAGATTAAAAACGGCTCATTCTTATGGCTTTATATCTGTGCGTGAGTGAGCAATGGGAGATTTGGAGTGCAGAAAAATATAGTTTGGATGCACATTAATTACATCTTGCAGAGGAATTATACACAAGCAAAAAATAACTGTTTGAGCAAACAAATCTATTCTGTACTCAAATGTATTTGCATGTTTGCTATTGTCCATATTAACATGCAGTAATAACCCCTCTCACTCAGTTTTACTCAGACTCAAACTCTGCTGGCAGACTGCTGCACACAAGCTTGAATTATCCCTCTCCCTCTCTTAACGTCTCCATTCTGATGCTCAACTCTGCCTGCACACTTGTTCGATTTGGCACAGTGTTATAATGAGCCACAAAATCAACCCATCAGAGAACTGGAAAAGGTCCATTCTAACTAGTTGTTTTGGCTCCAATTCTGGGCCAGATTATCCATGCAGCACAAATATAACGCCATTCTGTTACAGGACAAGCTCTCCCAGCTCACGGTGCCTGACTCCACCTGCAGGTGGATCACAGACTTCCTGTCTGACAGGAAACAACACGTGAAGCTGGGGAAAAATGTCTGACTCTCGGACCATCAGCACCGGAGCCCCCCAAGGCTGTGTTCTTCTCCTCTGCTCTTCTCCCTGTACACCAACAGCTGCACCTCCAGCCATCAGTCCGTCAGGCTCCTGAAGTTCACGGATGACACCTCCCTCATTGGGCTCATCTCTGGTGGAGATGAGTCTGCCTACCCATCATCCTGTGTGACTCCCCAGTTGACTCTGTGGAGTCCTTTCGCTTCCTGGGTACCATCATTACCCACAACCTCAAAGTGGGAGCTGAACATCAGCTCCCTCACCAAGAAAGCCCAGCACCATGTACTTCCTGCGGCAGCTGAGACGATGATGGTGCACTTCTACACCGCCATCATCGAGTCCATCCTCACCTCTTCCATCACTGATTCTGCTTCTGATACATTCTAACGATTCTTATATTACGGTGATTATACACAAATAAAAACATACCTATGAATATTATAATCAATTTCTGACAATAGATCCTTCTTAATATTGATTTTTGTACATCTGGTACATATTTTCTATACATAAGGCTGTGAATTCATGTAAGGAATGTCTGCTGTAAAATACGCAGCCCTATGATAATTCTAGTGCATCATTTTCAAGTAAAGGAGGGAGAATAATAAAAGATTATCCATTTCAACTTTCTAGACAGTGATCTGGAAAGGCCAAGTGTGGAGGGGAAACTCTGGAGTCATAAACATTAAAAGCAGAGGTTTTTACGACCCTGGGTAGTGGCGAGTGTGCTAGCACTACAGCGACAACAGTGGAGGAGGAGAGGTTCCCACTGACATGTGGGAGTGCTCATCTAGGTGTGAACAGCTGCACATTGACATCTGGGAACTGGACCTCTATGAGACCTGGTTGTCAACATGCAAGTTTTATGAAATGTTACGCTATGCATTATGTGCATGTGTTTATTGATACAGGCTTTTGAAAGGACCAGAACCTGGCCATGGCGGTCGTACAGGGGCCAGTAAAAGAGAAGGAGAGATAGTCCACACACTCCCAAAAATGTAATGATGCAATGTTGTGAACTACACAGGTCTCTGACCTACAGGACAAAGAAGCAAATTGTCTTTGTCTCTTAGCACCAAAGTATTTCTTGTTATTTTCTCATATTTATTTATAATGCGATGACCTCATGTCTGGACCCGGTCATCTCCAGGTCAGAAAAAAAAAATATCTGCAGACAGGGCTGCCAACTTTGGAACATATGCATATAAAACACAAAAACTTTTTATACCAGTGATAAACATGACCATAGGACTACGGCTGTATTTAGACCAAATCATGAGCATCTAAGCAAGTTGTGCTTTAGAACATAACGACTGTGAAACTATCAGATTCAGCAATCGGATTCCCCCAGCTTTCTCACTACCGACAGTCCCTCTTGTCATTCAGTCTCTATGTCATTCAACCTCCACTGTCTCTCTCTCAAACAAACTGACACAAACCAAAGACAGCTTCTTTGTATCATTATATTGCAGCATAGACTGAAACCCAGACACAAATGTCCAGAGATGACGGTGGGTTATGTTTCTCCAAAAGTTTCTTTTGTTTCAACTTCTCTGTCGCAGACTGTTGCATTTTTTCCAGCATCCTCTGCGGCCCCCACTGCCGCAGCCTAAACCAACTACCACCACTCAAATGGATGGGAGGACTGGCTTTTTCATCCCAGTTTCTTTGGGCTTTCACAGCTTACATCATGCACATATATCAGGAAGGAGGCACTACTGACTTCATTCTTCAGTGACAGCCCCAACAACATCATTTTGCTTTCCATGTTTACAGTAGTGCATGGAAGACCACATTGAATCCTCTTTAGTCAAGTCCTCACCAAGACTATATGTGTACAGAATTTCCAGAGGAATGAATCCAGCAGAACCCACTTCGCAGGCTTAAGAGCTGTCAGTAGGGAGGGGTGACTGGGTGCAGTGGTTAGTGCATGTCGTACCGAGTGAGGTGTGTGAATGTTGGTTTATAAAACCTTTGGTAGAATACATTCAGGATGATGGGTTTCCACAATGAGGGGTAATGGTTTCCTGTAGCCGCTTGTGTCCTGCAGGTTTTTCCACACTGACTGAGGCTTGTTCACTGGAGACCTTCCAAAGATCCCCTTTGCTACTCTGATCTCCTTTGTCAGTGTGTTTCTGGCCTGGTTGTACAGGATTCTGTCCCCTCTTCTGCTGGCCTCCTCCTTGGCCTAATGAAGCTGCTTGAGTTTAGCTGTAAGCCAGGGTTTGTTGTTGCTGTATGTGCAGAAAGTTTTAGCTGGCACACGTGTCCTCACAAAAGCTGATATAAGATGTCACAGTGAGAGTGAGTTCATCCAGGTTTGTGCCTGCAGCCTCAAAAACACTCCAATCAGTGCAGTCAAAGCAGGCCTGTAGCTCCAGCTTTGCCTTGTTGGTCCATCTGCTTGCAGTCTTGACCACAGGCTTAGTAGATTTTAGTTTCTACCTGTAAGTCAGGAGAAGATGAACCAGACAATGATTGGACAGTCCCAGTCCTTTAATATAGCAATGATCCAATGTGTTGTTATGGTGGGACACGATGTGCTTTCTGCATGTTTGTGACTGAGGTTTGCTCTGTTAACCAAGAACAATGAGCAGGTAGACTCTGGGTGTTTGTGCTTCTTGGAAGTTAACCTTGTGGTCAGCCAGATGTTGTAATGCCTTACTAACACTGGCTGAGGTAAGCCGTAAACACCAATCAGAATAAATGAGGGAAACTGCAGTTCATAGTCAATGAAAATTGAGGCTCAGAACCTCTGTACAGCTAAGAATTGTACAGCTGGTGATACTGTGGGGTTGTCCCTACTAGTGACTACTTTGACCTTAGACATCTGATCAATTTTTACGTAAAAATATTGATTACTTTAGCTTTATGACCTAAACATGGCTTTGTGAAATTACCATTAAAGTTACTGGTAGCTTTCATATGTAGTCTCCATATTGGCCGGTGATCCAGCATTTATTTGAATCTTTATATCTGAAGCAACAACCCTTAAATTCCATGTTACATCTTTAGGGATGCAGTCCATGTTTTCACACCAAAGAGTTAATTGACCTCCAAAACTGAAAGGCTAGTTAGAATAAGATATTTATGAGTAGCATAAGTCATTCATACCTGTGATTAAATTCTAATCTGCATCTGGGTATTGTAAACTCCTGGACACTGTAACTCAGTTAGACTATTTTTCTGACTCAACTCTATCCTTCTGTCCAGGCAGAGCTGCCTGCTTTCCGAGACTACAGCGTCTGATCAGCTGGATGTGGGAGCAACGTTAAGTGGATCTGACGCCTGTTTGGAAGGAGTTGGGAATAAACAGATATAGACTGCTACAGCTGTACATGGAAAATGCACAGCAGAGGGGATGGGAGGGGAAAGAACAAGAGAGAGAAAGGAAAGAAAGATGGTGAAACAGGGATGAATGCGTTGAGCAAAGGAAAAACTATTTGGAAAACAGATGATGGAAGAAATTATGAAGTCGTACCCCTACATGGCAAGTCAAGAGGCTAAGTAGGTACGCACTAATCCACTGCAGGATTATAAACTGCTCTTATAATGCAATTGCATGTTACCCATTAGGGTTGGGCGATATATTCAATTCTTTCCAAATGGCCACCACCAGCCCAGCAACTCATGAAAGACGCCGATATATTCGTCCAATCACCAAACCCAATTATTCATGTTAACTTTCAAATATCTGTCTGTGTTGTCAACAAATGACCCCAGCCAGCTCTCACCCAATGTAAGCTGGGATAGGCTCAAGTCATTTAACAGGATAAGTGGGATGGATAGTTTGATGGATGGATAAATAGATAAACCAACAAATTGCGCAAGAAACTCAAGACATGGACTCATCAACTGGTATCTGCCAGAATACTGAATAGGAGAATATGGACACCATTCTATAGTTTTCACAGAAAATCTAAAAGTAAGGGATGAACGAGTGCACCATTATTGGTAGCTGTATACATACTTGTAATGGGCGATACTTAAACCAGATGTAGGTAGGACTAACAGGAAGTTGTTCATTTAAGCCTGAAATTGATATGGGTTGATCAGGAGTTGCTATATTTATTAGAAAACCATTTATACAACTTCCTCAGAATTGAGCTGCAGAGCAAAGTTTTATTTTGTTTTGTTTTTTCAAATTAAAGTTGGTATTATTTATTGTTTGTTTAGAAAACGGATATTGACTATTTTACTCAGATTTTTACTAAAAAAGTGTATTCACAGCAGAGGACTCATTCAACTCTAATAAAAGTGTTGACCTGCTGGTGGCACTAGAGAAAAGTCAGAGGATCAATCTATCCTTTGGGCACCGTGAATGTATGTTTAAATGTATCCATCCAACAGTGTTTGATGTATGTATGATCCTACAGCCACGTTAATACTTATTGATGCAGCTTTAAAAGACCAGTGGCATTTAGTGGCATCTAGCTGTGAAATTGCAGACTGCAACAATTTGAATACAGCGCTGCCTTCCAAGCGAGCAGGAGAAATTACAATGGCCGCAAAATTCACAAAAAACCCAAAGAAAGCTGCACATTGTTTTTTTTTTTTTAAATCAACATCATACATAGTATAGCTTTAAATAATGAATTCATCGATTCCAATTGAATAATCATTGCAGCTCTAGTGAAAAGTGTCGGGTAGTATTTCCAAACAATTACTTCCAGTGTCCTCCAGACACAAAGGTTGCTCTGGGCACTTGTCAATGTGAACGTGTGCAACTGTACAAATGTGAAGTGTTGCTGCTCCAACAATATTGCATAGAGTTAAAGTTATCTCGCTAATGTATTTTGTTCTAAAAGCCCTTTCATGTATCACAGCTCCAGCCCTGTATAGCCTGGTATCTATATGTGAGTGACGTGAAATCATCCAGAGACTAGTATCAAATATCTTGTTATCTCCTCCTGAGTGGCTGTTAATAAGCTGCAAGAGACATACTGCAGTCATATCATCCACATGAGCTTTCCACCAGCACACCACCATCCATAGCACGCGCACACACACACGCGCACACACACACACACACGCGCGCACACACACACACACACACACACACACACACACACACACACACACACACACACACACACACAGGCTGCTGAGCTGCCACGCGCAACAGGAAACCTGAGAGCGCTGTGACACGCTTTAATTTGCCTGCATGCCGCCTCACTCTCACTCTGACTGCTGCTGGCAGCGTCCCTCTCCTCGAGGAAGGGGATCCCCTTCCAGCAGATGTTGAACCTGACTGCTTCTGTCCTCGGAGAGGACGCCTCATGACAGTGGTGGTGGTGGTGGTGGTGGTAGAGAGGGCAGATCAGGTTTATAATAAACCACCTCAAGAACAAAAGGCCACTTTATCCATGCCCTCCTCCCTCTCCTCACAGAAAGAGGAGACAGGATAGGATCTGACAGCAGACATGAGTAGTCATTTAAACACAAGGATCCCTTTTACCCCCGCTCCCCCTCCCGGGAATTACAGCAGGTAATAATAGCTAATCCTAAATTAGGAATGTGTCAAGTTGCGCCAGACTCTGCCTTGTTTGGACTGAAGCATGAGTTGGAGAACAAATCTGCCTCACTGACAGACTGAGAAAGGAGTGATTAGAAATGAGACTCCACCGAGTCATGAACAGGACAGGGATAATGCTGTGTCCCAGTTCAGGGGCCATCTCCTTTGTCCCCATTTCAAGACTGACTACAAAAAAACCTTTTGAAGGTTCTGGAAAAATGTGGCAGAGAGTTTGTCAGAATATGAAATTATTTTAACATACCTCTCATTCTTACTTGACACATTTTTTAGTGTATTTGTATTAGCAGGTAGATGCACTCCATCAAATCAAGCACATTAAATAAAGCTCTTCCAATTTAACAAGTGTAAGTTGCTTTACGTGAAAATATGGTGAAAGAAAATGCTTTGTAGGAACAACAAAATCCGTCAGAAAGACAGTGTGGGAGAACAGATACATTTATCTACCCCCTCAGTTCTGACAAAAGCGTTGATCGGAGTCAACACACATTGCAAGCAAATGTAATACATCGAAGTTGTACAACCACCTGAAAAGTAAATACATAAATCAAAATATTTTTAAAAACATCAATATGATAAAGCTATTAGAGGTGTACTGTGGTGTTAATTCATAGTTTGATATATATCTCGGTGTTGGGGTCATGGTTTGGTACGTCTTGTTACAAAATATTTTTGAAAATACCTTTTTTCATATTAAAATAATAAAACAATATATAAAATGAACAACACATAAACTAACACAAAGTTCAATTTTCAGTTCAATTACATTTTAGCATTGTAGAATCTCGAAGTCTAAATGAGTCAGTTTCTACAGCTTAACATTAGTAAGACTGCACTGTGAGGAAAGGCTTAGGTCTGTCTGTTCCAGTCCCACTCCAACACAGATGTACAAATAAACCTTGCTTTCTCTGAGTAACCTCACATTTTATTCAAACTACCAATGGCATATGGGGGGGGGAATCCATATTTAATTACTCTTTGCAAATGTAAAATGGAGAAAATGAGCAAACCATTCTGGACATCTAATCATGACACTAAACCATCGGAGAAGTAATGAGCAGAGCAATGAAAAGTTTTGAATCCACAAACATATACGGAAAAATCATGGATAAAGGTAAGCCTGTCTGACTTCATAAAACCCAGCTGTGGCTTTACCTACTGTAAGACTGCCTTACTGTAAAGCCTGCCAGAGCAACATTAGCTTGTCACCCAACTGAGGCAATGGAGGAACACATCAACGTCAATGCTACAACGTAGTTTAGGATTAGGATAGATGGGTTCCAATGAATTACTGTGCTAGTTCTCAAGGCTCAAATATACTCCAGAACAGATGCATATACAGACAGCTGCAGACACTACGGCCACAAAGTAGCTCTGTAAGTCCCACTTGGCAGACATGTTTCACAAAGTTTAGTCATATGTAGTGGCCCGTTCGGATAGTCACAACAAATTGGTGGTACGCGGATTTCCGCACAAACCCTATATGTATCCCCTCTGACTATGAAATTCAAAAAGGTCACACAGGCCCTAGCAGACACCTAAGTATAATAACTACTTTGTTAATTCAAACTTGAAAAGGTGACAGTCATACTCTTCATAGTCAAGTAAAAAGCAGCTGTCCTAGCAAGAGAGCTGAGACCACATGCAACAGATTTATCATTAATTACCATTCATTCATCTGAGGCTGGCTACATACCTGGTGACCAGCACAGCAGTATCCACTGGTGGGATGTCATCCCTTCCACCAGGAACGTGGTTGGTACCAAGGTACCGCGGCCCCCCAAACTCTTGATACTGCCACTGACAGAAGCTCTCCAGAGACCTCTCTCCATGATGACCCACCTTTAGCTTTTCCTGAATAACAGATACAGAGCAGATTCTCATCTTCCTCTCTTGGTTCTTTATCACAATGTGCCTTTAGCTTTAATGCTCCTTTTATGTTGGAGAAAAATCTATAATGTTATGACCCACACTGTTTAAATACACTAGCAAATAGTCAAACTAAATTACACTCAAGACTGACAGGTGTCAAAACCAAAAATGTCAACCTTGTGATGCTAGATATAAACTCAGGGGTCACCACAGTAATCAGGATTCATCAGCTGGGGCATGACTGTCTGAATCATGTCGTGGCAATCCACCTAATAGATGTCAGTTTGGACTAAAGTGGTGGAAGGGGTGTATGTTATACAATGTACAGGTCAAGTGTGAACCCATCGTGACATCACCCACTGGTTTGTGGACTACCGTTTTGAAGCTATGAGTTTGGCATTATGGTCTCACCGTGTTGGTGTTTTAGAGCCAGCAGCAGTGACGTGTTCTTGCAAGTCCAGCTGCCTCGCAAAGTTTAATTATGGACAGCTTAAAAAGCGTAAATGGGTCAAACTGACTAGCAACATATTGTGCGGGTTAAATTTACAGTGTTCACATGAGTCACATAACTATTCAAAACTTTAAAAAAGAATAAACAGCGAGAGATGTTAAAACATATGTGTGCCCTCTATTATTGGGTCTGTTGCCCCATGCTTAACCTTTTTTAGGAACTCAGAAGCTATCATGTGCCTGGGGACCAAAGTATTCATGCAAAGTAGTAGCATTACATCAGATAAAACTCTTAAATTGAAAAAATTGAGGAACTGATTGTTAAATTTTACATGCAGAAGACTTAGAACCTTTAATCTAGACAGGGAATCATTTTAAAGGGGAAAAAGGGAATCACACACACAGGGTGGGGCCATCATCTGCTGACAGTCAGGTTGTTTGGGTCGACAGAGAGTTAAAGAAAAGTCAAAGACGGTGAAAAGTCAGGCTTACTGGACGGGTGTGAAGCAACACCAGCTTGGTGACACGAATGTTGATCCTGATTCCCAGACTCTGGTGGTGGAACATGTTGTAGACCTGCAAGAGACAGAGCAACAGTACTACCGACTTCACAAGGACTAATGAGTACAGAAGAATCAAGAAGGTTTATGGTCCATTTTTATTATGACATCCTTCCGAAATGATACATGAGCCACAGACAGTGTCAGTGCGTAACATGTTTGACACAATTGCTTCTGGCTCTGGGCATCAATCTCAGGAAGGCTGGTAATCTGGTGTGGTAATGCCATCAAGACAAAGATAATGAACCAGTCAACCCTACAAAGGACCAGGGTCAGTACATGGCACCTTAACAATCACTAACAACCAGGTATACAGTATATTGAACACTAACTCAACTGTTGTATTTAAATTCTGTGATTCTTACCATGTTCATGACAGTCAGTAGGAACCTCTGCGCCGCCTCTGCACCATGGTACTGCACCATATCGGAGTCCGCCACCACCACCGTCTCCACAGTGTATGCTTCGTGCAGGCGAATGGCATTTCTCTTCCCGCGACCCTCCTCGCCCACTTTTGACATCTTCTCCTTCTTCTTCCCTACCACGAACAGACACACACACACACACACACACACACACACACACACACACACACACACACACACACACACACACACACACACACACACACACACACACACACACACACACACACACACACACACACGAAGACCATGGTTATAAACACTACACCAGTGGGACTCCCATTGCTGTGACTGAGTAGCTCACATATAGTGTGTGCATGTATGTGTATCGAGTATTTCTAGAAATCAATGTCAGTTAACTTCAAGTGGGTGAGTTGGACAATCACAAAGCAGTCAATCAGGAGGATTTTTTTATTTCACTATGATTATAGCATCAGTTAATTGCAGGCAAACCAATACACGCAGAAGACAAATGACATACTCTCATAGTATGTTGTACTAATACATAGTTTGCTTAATCTGCTGTTAACCAGGTATGTCAGTTATCTAGACAGAGTAGCCTGTGTGCCAGAAAGTGACCATGTTTTTTCACAAAACGTTTCACAAAGTTTATGAAGTTACCCCCCAACTCAAAACCTCCAAAAACTGCAATTTTGAGAGTCTGGAGACTTTTACATGTTTACCACTAGTAATGACTGGTCTTTTAGAAGGATGTGTGTTTTACAAAAAGATACAGTATTTTATCTGGAATTTAGCTCTTTCCCAGTCTCCCCAAACACATGATCAGCATTAGAGTGTACCTTTTTGATTGCACTTAATAGGCCATTGGTGTGTTATGTTATTAGTGTTAACTTTACAGGTTTCCTAGCCCCTGCAATCTACATTGTCACGTGGAATGAAAGGTTCGTAATAACAGTGAGTACAAATTATTTTTTGTGAAACTGATGATGCACCTTGAGTCGATATTTAAAAGTTGCAATCTCTTTACTACTGTTTATTGTTGCACTATTGGTAGCCAGCCACTTATCATCATGGACCTCCAGGCTTGATATTTGAAGAGAATGGCAACAGAAAGGAGAAGAACCAATGGCTCTATAATGGCTCGGAGCTAAGGCTACACTGTAGGACCTGGCTGTGGGGTTTCTTAGTGCTGCAGACCCCAAATGGTTTGCATTTCAACAAATACCACAAATTGCTCAACAATCAGAATAACCATGACAACAAGCACTGCACTTAGGCAGTTGTATATCTTCAGTGAATCTTCATCAGAAACAACACCACTACTAAAACCACTGTGCTGTGTGGGGCAGGGAATGGAACTTCAGTACATTCTGAGTACCAACCAATTTGTGTCTGTAATGCCAAGAATAAAAAAACATCAAGTACTGAAAATGACCCTTCTTCTGTAACATAAATTTACCCCACAACAGTGCAAGCTGTCCCAGTCCATAGGTGAAGAAGGAGAGAGAACAGCCCACCAGGGTGAGTAAAACTATGCGTTAAACATATTACTTAGATAGTGGGACAGCATACGAAACTTCCTTTCTGCTGTCAGCATTGGGGGGAGAGGGTTTGTACATCTGCAACCCTACTGCTAGAACAGAAAACTTCATTATCAAAGTTCTGAACGTAATTCCAGGTGATACAGAGAGAGCAACACATTATTACATCTCGCCCCTCTCTATGATGGCTAGCTTTGTCGCCTTTAATTGTGGCCATTCAAAAGATATTGTACTTTTGCCTTTTGACGTGGTCATACGACAATTTATGCCCGAGTTGCCTTGGACGAGGTGAGAGATCGCAACATTAAGAAGTTGGCTATTTGTGAAACGTTTGTCTTTTTTGATGAAATTTTAAGAAGTAAGTTTATACTCAGCAAAGACGTACTGAAAATGTTTAGTGTCAGTATCGGATAGACCCTGACAGATATGGGATTAATGAGAACGATACCGATTTTAGAGGGAAAAAATGCTCACATTATATTACCAATAAGGCAGCCAATATAGTCAATGTCTGAGCTGGAATGAAAATAGACCTTTTCTATGTGGATTCTGCAATGATATGACTATGCAAACGTAATCAAAAGGCTGCTTTCTATAACCCAAAAGATTATTATATATAAATATGTAATATATTATTTAACATGTTAAATAATTTAATAAACATTGTCAACCAATTCTAGTTGACATACAAACTGACAACATATACATATATGCCAAGATACTGGGCGGACTGTAGTATTGGAACCTGTATCAAAACATTCTAATTTCTAATGACACCCAGCACTAATAGATAACAATGTCACATGTCCATTGCCGTTACTAAACGATCTCTATGTACTTCAATATGCCATTGGTTACAAGAAAGGGCTCTTGAAATGCCTAGCTCAAACTGTGCATCAATCTACTCCTTTAACCTCCTCCTCCTCATCATTATTACTGTTGACATTGAGTCGGCTTGTTAAGACTGTTAAGAGGTTTTAACATTCCACCATGTATTTAGCTAGCTGGGGGCTCCAGTGTTAATCTAGGACTACTTACTTGAGGCGCTCAGCAGCCACCTCTGCAGATGTTCTTGCCTGGAATGAGCTTTGTATTGTCTGGCCTGGTCTAGCGTCTGTTGAGCTTGTTTCCTGGAGTGCACAAATGTGACTCATAGATTTTTTGTTCTCAGGGAACCCCTGACAGGCTTGTGATAATGCAGTGCAAGATTGAGGTCTCCCTGTAACACTGCATTATGGATTCAACCAAGACACTGACTCCCAACCTAGAGGGCCCCAATGCATTGGAAGCCAATCGGCCAGAATAATCCATGTATTGTTGCATATGTACTGTATAAAAGCCTTGCATCTCACACTTGAGTCTCTACGCCTGCCATGCTTCTTGATGGATTGGAGGCTGCAAATGTAATTGTGTGCAGTTTGCTACGGTTATTTCTTTTTATGAATCGAACATCTTTTTGCAGAGTTACTGTGTCTAGCTTACAATGTATTCGAGAAGTATTACAATTTTGTTGCATAATAAACTGTAAAATAATACTATCTGAAATCTTATCCTTGCTCCAGAAAAAAAACTGGATCTGCCTAAGCATTCTGGGGCTTGTAGGGCAAAATTTGACACACCACTGGAACCAAATTTAAGACCTTTCAAAAAACAAAATAGCCTTGAGAAACAAATGATCTGTTAGGTGTTGTTTTATTATGTTTCCTGAGAGAGAAAATATTAAATTACCAAAACAATTAATGGAGGACTTAATATTTTAAATTTGTTTGGACATAGGGTCCGACAGCAGCCTAATTTTATATGGTAAATGGCAAATGGACCTATACTTGTATAGCGCCTTTCTACTCAACTCAAAGCGCTTTTACACTACATGCCACAAACCAACTCATTCATACACATTCACACACCGATGCACAGCAACAACCTTCCGATTAGGGGACGACCCGCTCTGCCTCTGAGCCACAGCCGTGTGTATGTTGGGAGATATGGTGGAGAGAGGCAAAGCAGCAGCCACTGATAAAAAATGAGCCCAGTATTTTGAAAGCAGAAATTTGGGTACATTTTGGACTTTCTAGGAAGCACGAACTGGACAAGACGCAGGCTGTATTTAAAATCTTCCTCACAATCTGCCTCACTACGTGTAAGCCGTTTTCACCATGAGTCACTATCGTCAACTATAAAGAATTAATCAAGCTCGGAAAGCAGCCAATAATTGAGGGGCACTCTGAGAACTCTGAGAAAGGGAACAGAATCATATCTGTGTCAACAAAGTGACTTTACAGAAACAGCGAAACCTGCACTCCACAGCAAAACCAAAGCCTAGGTAATGGAGTTAATGAGCAAAGCTAGTCAAATAGCTTTTACATGTGATTCCTGGACCTGTGTCATGACTGACTCATATGTAACAATAACAGCAAAATATATTTATATGTACTAACGGTATGTGAAACAGGCACTGGTAATGAAAAGATGCAGCTTTCTATGTTATAAAAAGTTGATTTCTGAGAGCACTAAAAGGTTTAGAATTAGACAACTGAGTGTTACCAGTAGGTATGTTGGGTATTTCTTCAAGTTGTGTCAGCCTCAACCGACATCATACAGGAACCCGCGTAAGACAAAGGCCAGTGCATGTCAACTGACCACCAAGGTCTATGGGAGAACTTTATTGTCAGGCAGAGAAATACTGGATAAAGCAATAACCAGATAATGCCTTACTCAAACTTTACAATAAAGTACCACAACAACAGAAATCATGCCTGGAAGTGACCATTTATAGAAGAGACAGCTAAGAGCTACCAGGCCCATAAAAGTTCCTATAATATCCCACCCAGGCAGAAAAATGAGATTCCCCAGCAAAGATCAGAGAGCTGCTCTATGATTTGGAGGGGAAAAGCTTGTAATAAGAAAGGAGAGAGGATGTGTTGACTCACACAGAGACAAATAACACAGTGCTTTGAACTGTGAAACCAACACCAGCACCACAGGGGAAAAATGGCTCTGCCTGCTCAGTACTTTGTGGGAGAACATTGCCTCATACAGTGACTGGACTGCTGCTGTTGCTCAGGCCTGAAGTAATTACTGGTGTTTAGAGATTCTCAGATGACAGTCACAAAGCAAACCACCACTAATGTAAGAAAAACAGTATTTTTTGCTTATTCAACATAAAGACCCTGTCTTTACATAACCTGCATTGCTTGTAGAACAACTATGGATTTATATCATGATGATGATTTAATCAATGTCTGCCTACACGAGTCAACACTATTGCACAAAAAAAAAAAAAAAAAAGGGTAGATTGTGATGGAAGGGGTTTACTTTCTACTGCTGTGCGTCCCCCAGGGATTTTTAGTGTACAGTCATTTATACTGACCCAAAACGTTCTAAAATTCTGAGAAAGGAACTGTCCAATGTTTTGGGAAATCAATTTGTTTGCTGTCCTGACAGTCACATTAGAAGACTGATTTAATTTCATCTCTGTGTGTCCAGTACAGAGATGGAGCCAGGACTTGTCAGAATCAGAATCAGCTTCTCTGGCCAAGGACGGAATTTGAGTTCTTTTCATTGCTCTCTCTCAGAAATAGACATAACGGCCAAGAACAAGGACATTAAAT